ATATAAAGTCAGTCCGGAGTATAACCCCGGATTTACACTACATGTGGCTCCGCTGCGCTGCGGTGTGCAGTTCGCAGCTGTTCGTTTGCAACCCAATTTATACAGACTCCACTCCACTCAGCTCTGCTCCGGTGCGACACACAGAGGAGGGAGTGTGTGCAGGAAGGAGATCACATGATAAACTCAGTGATAAATGTGGAAGTCAGAGCAAAAAATAATTAATTCTGTGAAAGATGAACTCCAAACACAGCTGAAAACATTGATATAAAYGCTTTTGATTTCTATGGTTAAACCGCATCGCTGTCGACTTTTTGAAACTTCTGATTTCAAAATAAAATCCACGTGTATCGTGTGTGTACACATATGCTTCATGCTACATGTTTCCATCTGCTTCCCAAACTGAACCATACATTCTGACAGCATTTGTGTAGAAATATATCCATATATTTATTAATATAGCTGGGATTTTGACAAAATAATGGTGTCTTATTTTGAAAATAAGGATGTTGTGCTCGTTCCTCTTCCTGTTGGTGCAAAGCAATGTTTAAAAATTGCTCCGGAGTCCGGCAGAAATAGGATCGGATCTAATTTTTACGGATTGCCGTCCGCTCACCGCCGCTGTGTGCAGCCAGTGTAAATACACTCATTGATCATAATAGTTGTGTGTTTGCTGCGGAGGTCGGACCGGATCGGAACGGAGCCAGACCGCATGTAGTGTAAATTAGGGATTAGTCCCAGGACCAGCCAAACTATGAGAAGTGTGACTTATAGCCCAGAAAATACAGTAAGCTATTAAATCAACAATAATGATAATAATAATCTTAAATAATATTAAATTAATAATAAAAATATTAGTCATCCAAATATATTGAAAGAAACAGAGCTCTGTATCAGTACCAGCTGATATCCAAAGTCAGGTAACTGATTGGATTAGAAGTAAAACAGGTGGATGGGTGCAGACCTGCTACTTTAAACATGCAGGACAAGATTCAAACAACAAACAAAACCAAGTCAAGCTGACACACGTACCAAAGCCTACACAAGGACAGATGGGTGCCTGGGACAACAGGACCGGACCTCCTTTGCTCGTTACCTTCTCTGCCAGGCAGCAGAGCCCCACCAGAGAGCCGTTGGCAGCGTAGAAGGTGTGAGAGGGCGCCACGTCACAGTGGGTCACGCCTAAAGCCACTGCCYTGTTAGGGACCTGTGAGATCAACAAGTAAAAACATTTAAAACATGCTGTCTCCTCACCATCAGCACCACTCCTCCATGTTCATCTACCTGATACGGGGTGAGGCTGTGCAGAGGTCTAACTGGTCCAGGGTCAGGAGACTGCAGCTGACTCAGGTAGGCCAGTAAAGACAAGTCTCTGTGTTCGTTGGTGCGCTGGTGCTTCCTGTTAAATTCATTCAGAAACAAAGTTCAGAGGGGGGGGGACAACGACCCCAGGCTTCAGCCTGAACCTTCACACCATCTCATGGTGAACTTACGCGGTGCCTTGTTGACCCACACCCTGAAACTCTGACTCTACCATGAGGTGAGAGAAGGTCCTGGGGGTGCGGTGGCACTCTGCGAACTCATCCAGAGCGCTGTGAGCAGGCGGGTGCGTCTGATAGCCGTGTGCCGTCCTCAGGAACTCTGGTGTGAGGACGGGGCACTGGGTGGTGCCACTGTGACTGAGCTGGACCACGTGTGTGACTGGGAGGAAGCGGATCATGTCCACCAACAGCTGGAATCCAAATCCTGTGGACAGCACCAACACATGAGTTTTAGTGTACTTTGGTATTGTTTGGTTGTGGTCAGAGAGGGGAGACGGGCTGACCTTTGACCCAGCCCATTGTGTTGATGATAACGGGCATCTCTCTGCTCTGGGACCGCCAATGCCACAAAGACTTCAGAGAATCCAGGTAGAGGTCTAAGTCTGAGTCAGCTGATGGTCGGCCGTAGTAGATCATGTGGTCTGGAGTGTTCTGATGTGAGAAGGGAGGACCTGAAACAGCAGCTCAGTGTGAAAAGACTCATCTCCACAGACGGGCTGAAGCTGGAAAGATTTAAACAGAGCAGAGGATCGCTCCCACGTCCACAGCTCTGATATACTCTGCTGCTAGAGAATTTACTGGATTCATCAACCTGGAAGTGACATGTTTACCTGGTAAGATCTGAAAGCTGAAAAGTGTTTTTTTGTTAAAAAAAAAAAAAAAAAAAATAGCAGTTGACCAGTGGTGGGCACCAGTCCGCTAAAGCGCAAATCCGATAATTGGTTATCGGTTCTCATTTCCCACAATGCTTTGTGTCTACTTACGTAGCAGGAAGGCAGTGTTTAGAAATCCCTTTCCTAGCAAAAACAGTACACATTTGTAATCCATACTAAAATTTTGTATGTATTGATTTATTTTACTTTACAATCGGAGCTCCTTTTTAAAAGAAATAATAAAGTTTAAACGCTGGAGCTCAATACTTGACGTAATTTGTCGAAGCAATTGGCCAACGGGGTAAGAAATTATTTAAAGATGATATACTGATTAAGACTGACATCTATTGGTCAACTGGAGCAGCTACACGGAAAACTTTAAAATCCAAGCTCTTATTTTGAAGGGAAGATAGTTTCCTGTAATCCGTGCTTTTGTTTCCTGTCACAAATCAAATCTGTCATGTACCCAGGACGCATCGGTTCAGTTTTCCAATAAACAGTTTTAAAATTACTTTGTTGATGCTTCTTTAATGAAAAATCTACAACAAACAAAAGAAAAAGACAAAGAAGCAGCCGAACTAGCAATCCTCAACAACTTTTTAATTTTTACACCAGGAGCTAAAGGTCTGRTTCATGAACTCACATTCCCAGCAATCGACGGTTGTAGAATTTAGCTGTAAAAGAGTTCATTTACCACTAGTTGGCAGTGTTGTGCATTTATTGTACATGAATTGTTGCCAGCTAGTATGTGTCAAACTGAACTTTCACTTTAAAATTAGCTTCTGCAAGTATTTCTATGGCATGAGCGTTTTTGAAGTTACGGACCTAAATATTTTCATAAGCGCTTTAGAAATTTCGAGCTAATTTTTGGATTAGTGCTGCCCACCACTGCAGTTGACAGATTCTGCTCTTAACCTGATATTTGAATACATGTAGAATTACTGCATTATTACCGATCCAAACAGCTTTAACAATAGGGCTTCCTGTTAAGACGCTAATTAAAACAAGTTCTAACTTAAATATGATGCTTTTCTCAAACACATTAACATTGAAATCAGACCAAATTCAGACTAAAATAATATTGGATTTTTTTGCTTTCAAGAAACAAGACTTTTTTACTGAAGGTTTTCTTTGAACTTTGGCTGCTTTTTTACTCTGAGTTTGGTCTGTGTGTCTGATTGTTTTCAGAGGAAAATTTATTTAAAGGAGACATGTCATATCATGCTTCTTTTTCACAATTAAATCCTTCAGTTGGGGTCTATATAAAGTGGAGCTGCAATGCTTTGGTCTGAATTCCTCCTTATTTTAACTCCAACTCAACMCAGTTTAGTGGAGCCAGTTGACATGACTTGATTAAGTAAATCTAAGACATAAATTTTTTTAGAGTGCCTAAACAACTCCTTCCATGATGAGTTCTGGTCATATTTAAATTTGTAACGTGTAACTAGTAGGGGTGCAACAATACATGTACCTGTATCGAACCGTTAAATACAGTGCTTTAGGTACAATAAACTCTTGTATCGAACAATACAGATTTTTTACATTTATTTTATCAACTTGTCTTCTGAAGATGCTCTGTGTTGAAGGATCAGTGAATCTGTGTTCGACTACTCCACCTAGYCTGTATTTTTGAGCKCAGATCCACTGAGAAACTTGCTGTTTCAACAACATTTAATTTAAAAACTGTACTTTTGAGGTTAAACAAATGTTCATACTTAATTTCAATACATTACAACTTCAAAAGGGCTTGTAAATTTCTCTTTTTTGTATCGAAAAAATATCGAACCGTGAGACTAAAGTATTGAACCGAACAGAATTGTGAATTTTCTGTATCGTTGCACCCCTAGTAACTTGGTGATACATTTTAAAGTAAATAAGTAAAATTATCATTTCTACATTTCAGATGTAACAAAATCAAAATGAAATTTACAACATAAAAAAAACATTTAGTACTGTTACGAAGTAAATGTACTTTACTATACACCTCTGTTAGTTTTAACATAAACACTTATTTTGGCAGAAATAATATTAACTTCKTAAAAGAACTAACCCCTAGATGCACCTGGAGTGRTACAGCTTGCTGCTGCTGCTTTTTCTGTTAGCAAACCACTATACATTCTAAGTAAATATCCACCTAACACAAACTGTTATTTAAGTTTTAAAAAGCAATGTTTGGATAAAATGATAAATTCAGGAGTAGCCAGGAGTCGCCAACATTTTTGGCTGTTCTTTCGCAAAATTCTCAAGAAAAATGTAATTTAATAAGTATATTGTTCTCTAGACAAAATTTACTATATACAAATTTATATGGTGTCAATCAGACAGCACGACCCGCCCTGCTCTGATCTGATTGGGTCAAACTTTGACTGTGGTTCTCTCTATTGGTTGAAAGAACTGACAATTTAAAATCTAGATGGCTTTAAGAGGTTTATTACCCTTTTCAATTTTACAAATAACCGTCAACCGTTGTGGAGGAGAACTTTAATTTACATCTTTTTTTTCCTGTGGACAACCAGAAAATGGGATCTGGTTGTCCAAAATGAAAATAGATTGCCTCGAACAACCCAAACAATGCTTATGTRGACCCCTGTACAGTTTGTATTATTTATAAATCAACCTCTAGTTATTAAAACTATAACCAGGCCACATCAACACTTACCCAACAGTGGTTCTGTGACMGTCAACAAAGAAAGACAACCAGATGGGGTGAATTCTGTTTGACCCAGGTCTCCTTCCAGATAGTCCACACTGGCAGTACTGCAACAAAAACCAGACCATGGAGATCAAATTAAAGACCTCTACATTCAGACATCAGCTGTAATAGGTTGACATTAAGTCAGACTTATTTTCTTCTTCTTCTTTCAGTTCTCCTCCACCTCAGTCTGTCCTTTGTCCATCTACCTACATGTTCAACCTTACTGCATCCATATACAGCATCTCATCTTTGTTTCCTGGCAGCTGCATCATTTTTCTACGTATATCCACTGTCTCTCCTCTGGACATGTCCAAACCAATACCCACTGTCTCTCCTCTGGACATGTACAAACCCATATACCCACTGTCCCTCCTCTGGACATGTKCAAACCAATATACATACACACTGTCCCTCCTCAATCAACCACCTTTATTTAACCAGATAGGGCCCATTGAGATCAAGATCTCTTTTCCAAGGGTTACCTGGTCAAGAGGTCAGCAGCACACGTTACAGGGTAGTTGACACAAAAGTTACATAGTAGAAAAGAAAAATATACATAAAATACAGTAGCATTAAACAGATTTAGACAATGAGTAGTACAAACAATCTAGATGAGTCAAAAACGTAGTCTAGGCATTGACAGATGTTTCAAGACAATGAAATGATATTTCAGAGTTAAATTACTAAGTTTAGGTTGAGTACAGACTGAAAAATACAAGTAACATGTACAGTAGACAAATAGTGTTTAAGACAAACAGGCATCTATCAAACCTCTTGATGACAGTATCTGTAAGGGTTGAAATGAATGATTTTTGCTAGTTTCAGTTCCATCTGTAAATTGTTCCAGGTTGAGGGGGCAGCAAAGCTGAATGCTCTTTTCCCTAGTTCAGTTATGATGTGAGGAACTGACAACAATACTAGATTGTTGGAGAGCAGGGAGTAATGACTGTACGTTGTTTGTATTAAGGTGAAAAGGTATGACGGGACCAAGTTAAGGAGGGTCTTATAGATTAGAGACATCCAATGAGTGTATCTGCGAGCAGTGAGGGATGACCAGCCAGATTTGACATACAGTTCACAGTGATGAGTAAGGTAACTGGAGTCTGTGATGAACCGTAGAGCACTTTGGTAGATGGAGTCTAAGGACTGCAGGTATTTTGATGCAGCACTTATGTACAGCACYTCACCGTAGTCTAATATTGGCATGAATTTTGCAGCTACCAATGATCGCCTAGCTTCCCGTGAGAAGCAAGATTTGTTTCTGTAATAAAAACCTAGTTTCAACTTGAGCTTAGTGGCCATTTTAGTGATGTGTGCTTTGAATGACAAGTCACGGTTGATCAAGAAACCTAGGTATTTATAAGTGGAGACCATTTCTATTTGTTTCCCCTGTTGGGTTTCAATTTGTAGTGGGCTCTCTGGTTGCTGTCTTCTGTTAGATAGAACCATTATTTTGGTTTTGTCGGCGTTTAAGGCCAGTTTAAGTTTTTGAAGACGTGACTGAAGGATACTAAAAGTGTCCTGAAGAAAGGTGAAAGCTTGACTGAGAGAGGATGAACAGCAGTAGATGATGGTGTCATCTGCATAAAAATGGTAGGAGGCGTTTAACAGATTGCTGCACAAGTCATTGATATATATTGAGAACAAAATGGAACCCAAAACAGAACCTTGTGGCACCCCTTTGACAACAACTAAGAATGTAGAGGAGGATCTGGCCACATGAACCGACTGTGTTCTATTGGTCAGGTAATTGGTGAACCAAGAGACTGCCTGTTTTGATGGACCACAGTGTTCCAGGATGTTTATCAGTAGTCTATGGTCAACTGTATCAAATGCCTTGGACAGGTCTAGAAATAATGCAACACAGTATTTTTTGCAGTCCAGGGCATGTATGAGATCATTTAAGACTTTAAGAACTGTAGTGACAGTGCTGTGGTGTTTTCTGAAGCCTGACTGAAATGG